ACACCACAACGTGAAAGAGTATTTCTCCTCAAGTCAGCAAAAAAGCTCAAAACTCGACCGATTCAAATTCTTCAACATTTCCATTTCCAAGAAAGTCGCATATAGACATTTTAGGATCATCCTCTCGGAGTTTTGTTTTTGATTGAATCTCGTGGCTTCTCTTCTTCTTACAGATCGATCAGGTTCGATTCCTGTTTCCAGCCTATACAAGAAGAATCATTTCAATTTCAGTTTTAAGTGTTTTGACTTTTGGGTTTAATCAAAGATTTTAGCTTATAGACATTGAGATCTGTTACAATTTTTGATACAATTCTTCATTAATAATTCATCTTGTGTAGGATCATCAGACAGAAAAACGGCTTGAAAAATGGTCAAAAAGGCAAAATGGTTGAAGAACGTAAAAAAGGCTTTTAGCCACACAGATTTAAAGGTATGAACTCTTATGAATATTGTGTTCTAGTAATTCATGTTCTTGTGCCTTATCAAATTCATGTTTTTGTATAAACAGAAGTTGAAACAGCAATCAGTTGAATGTGAAAACAGTGTGATCTCTTACCCTGTCTTGATAGCTACATCAAGAAGTCCTTCTCCACAGTTTGAAGTTAGAGTCGATGAAGTCAACGACAATGAACAGAAGAAGAAGAAGAATCTGTGTCCTGTTTCTCCAGATTCCGAGACTATTACAGATCCAGATGTTCTTGTAGATTCACCTCCATCTTCCCCTGAGTCTATTCATCGTCCTATAATACTTGATAGGTTTCCAGGGAAGTCAGAGGAAGAAGCAGCTTCCATCTTAATCCAAATCACATTTAGAGGATATTTGGTATGTTTAGCTTGATCATGCAATAATCTTGGTTAAAGTTGTTTGGAATTGGCTAAAACTTGTATGATTTCACCAATGTAGGCAAGAAGAGAATTGCGGGCGATGAGAGGATTGGCCAGGCTCGAGTTATTTATGGAAGGACCGGTCGTGAAACGGCAAGCTGCGAATACCCTTAAATGTATGCAGACTTTGTCTCGTTTGCAGTCCGAAATCCGGTCTAGAAGAATTACCATGTCAGAAGAGAATCAGGCTCGACATAAGCAACTCCTTCAGAAGCATGCCAAAGAGCTAGGAGGCTTAAAGGTCTCATTTTGCTATCTCTCTTGTTGTGATCTTAGAGTCTTGTTTGTTCTTAAGACTTGCTCCTTTCTTCTGTAGAATGGGGGTAATTGGAACTACAGCAATCAGTCAAAGGAACAAGTCGAAGCGAGTTTGTTGAACAAGTACGAGGCTACAATGAGAAGGGAAAGGGGATTGGCTTATGCATTCACACATCAGGTAACTTCTATATGTACCTTAAGACTAATGAGGCCTCAAGTTTGATAATACACAACTCTAGATAATAACATTGGATTCGGTTTCCGCAGCAAACCTTGAAGAGTAACTCGAAAGCCGCAAACCCGATGTTCATGGATCCTAGCAACCCGACTTGGGGTTGGACCGCATTGGAGAGATGGATGGCTAGCCGGCCATGGGAGAGTTCAGAGAAAGAACAAACCAACAATAGCGAAACCTCCTCGGTTGAGACCTCGACTAACCGCAATTCCCATGGAGTAGAAACCGCAAAATCTTCAAACCGTAACAAACTCAATAGCTCAACACAACCTAATATCCCATCATCATCAACCACCACAAGAAACCTGAGAAAGAACAAGCCAAACACATTGTCCATAAAATCAAAGACCACAGATGACGCCAAGAGCTCAGAGAGGAACCATAAGCATAGCATTGCAAGGTCATCCGTTAGTGATGACGAAAGCTTGGCTAGCTCAACGACCAGACGTATCAACAAGGTTCCAACAAGATCAGCAAGAGGTAAGGTCAAGGTCCAGAGCTCATTGACCACAACACAGCAAAATGGTGTAGTTGTAGCGGATAAAGCACCAGCAAAGAAGCGGTTGTCTTACTCGGCTTCTCCTGCACCGAAACCTAGACGATCCTCTGCTCCACCGAAGGTGGAGAACGGCCTTATCAAGGCAGAGAAAACTGAAAATACAGTGACTAACCAGAGGTAAATTTTT